TATTTATTTATTTATTTATTTATTTTGTGTGTGTGTGTGTGTGTGTGGCCAGCTCAGCCCACCAGGGGGCGGGGCTGGCTGGCATGTGGTGCTGGGGATTAGAACCACGGTCGCTGTGCTTTTGCTTAGCTTAGCTTGTTCTAAGTAGGTGCTTTAGACCACTGAGCCATCTCACCAGCCCTTTAATTTATTTTATTTTATTTTATTTTATTTTATTTTATTTTATTTTATTGTGTGTGTGTGTGTGTGTCCAGCTCAGCCCACCAGGGGGCGTGGCTGGCTGGCATGTGGTGCTGGGGGATTGAACCGTGGTCTCAGTGCTTTGCTAAGCTTGTTCTAAGTAGGTGCTTTAGACCACTGAGCCATCTCGCCAGCCCCAACCTGGGCAGTTTAACAACACTCGGTCTCAAGAAAGAAGGGGCTAGGGCTCAGGCTCGGCAGGGCCGCTCTCGCCTGCCGTAGGCGCTGTTTGGGTCATGCCACAGCCACACGTAAACCCAAAGTGGGCATGCCTGCGCTGCAGCACTCCCTTTTGGGTGTGTGCCCTAACAGACTGAGGGTAGGAACACACTGCACTCTGCATTCACGGCAGCGTTTCCACCACGGGAAGGAAGCAGCCCTGGTGATCAGCAGATCCATGTAGGGATCAGAAAGAAAGGAGAGTGGCGGCAACATGCCACAGCGGGGCTAGCGGGGCAGGCCTTGCAGACATTGGACCATCTACAGTGAGCTGGGCCTTGGGGCAGGTGGGTCCTCACCTGGAGTCAGAGTCCTAGGTAGTTGAAGGCCGGCTGTTGGGGCCGAGAGGATGGGGTGAATGCTCACCATTACAGGATGGGGTCAACTCAGAAAGGTAAGTCACGGAGAGGGTGGTGTGGTGGCCGCACAGCAAAGATGCACGGGCACCCAGAGGGTTAAGTGTTTGTATCTTGCAACAGTAAAAAATTGAGAGCCCCCCACGACCTGGTTCAGAGTATTGAGGTGTAGAGGCATCGTGCTTTTGTCAGTCCCTTTCACCTTGTTGCCTATTTTGTTCCTGTGTTTCTCAGAAAAATAAGCAAATCTGCGCCTGTACTCCCCTTTTTCCTTTCTTACTCAGCAGGTGGCTGTGCTGCAGGGCATTCACCGTAGCTAGAGGTATCTGAGCAGGTGGGAACCTTGCACTTAGGTGTGCCAGTGCTGTGCCCAGAACCAACCGCACCATGGGTCTTCTAGTTGTCCCTGAGGTGCCTGTCCTGCTCGCACACTGACTGTGGCACTTGCCATTCCTCGGGACCAGGAGCTGGTGCCTGTGCTCCCAGCCTTGGTATCTCACATATCCCTCTTGGAGAGGCCCAGTGGCAACTTGCTGTGTCCCCAAGCTCTCATGCCAGAGATGCTGAGGTCAGGGACACCACCAGGAAGGAGACTTCTCAGCCTCTGTTCTCTGGTTGCAAGGGAAGGCCTGGAACAAAGAGACGGCAGATGAGGCTAGGGTCTGTGGCTGCGCTGAGCTGCAAGTCCACTGCTAGGAACATGCTTCTTCAGTTGAGCGGGGATTGAAATGGAAGGAAGAAAGGTAGCAGAATAAAGCCTGGAAGCACGTGAGGGATGGGGGCCCATCCTAGGGATGTCAGGTACCCAGGGCCAGGCAAACTGGCGTGGCAGGTTGAAGCCACTCCTGGGAACCTTGGGATCCTGGAGAGGAAGGAGGGAGGCTGAATTTTCAGCAGTCAGTTAGCTAAGGGAGAACCGATTGTGAAACCAGGACCATGTTGTGCCCAGAATGCAAGCATTGCAGGGATCGACTCCAGGGCAGGGCCTGCAGTCCAGCAGCAGGCTGTAGCCCGTAAGTCAGCACTGGCCTCTCCTCAGGCAGAAGCCCATGGGGTGAATGGCTTGGACCTCCCACACAGGTTCTGGCCTGCTATGTTGAGCTGAGAGTATTTGTCACATGTCTCCAGCAGGCCACTAGCCACATTGTTACCAAGATGTTTTCTGAAATGCTGGGCTTCTCCTGGGCCCCAGCTCTGCTGCTCTTGTGGTCTCCTCTTGCTCTTGGTTGGGAGTTCAGGACCTCAGCCCCAGGCACTCAGCACAGAGAAGGCAAGGGGGCAGCCCCTATGTCTCCTGGAGTGCTGGGGGAGAGCCTTGCCACACAGCGGTCGGCTGTGAGACTGTCTTCTGGGGCTGCATGGGCAGTTGGGTGACAGGCCATGGCCTGTGCTGGCTTCTCACGGGTCTCAGACCCCAACCCGAGCCCACACAGGCCCTTGTAGGACATGCTTGCAATTTGAGAACTGCTCATGGCTGCACTAACATGGAGCCTAGTCTAAGTCTTGCACTCATCCATTTCCTGCCTTTAGGATCAGATGCTAAGTTCTGTGAACCCCTGCCCTGTCAGGCAGCATCCGAAGATGTTTCTCCCTTCCTTTTAGGGATGGGCGTGTCTTGGGTGTGCTGGAGGTGTCCCGCTCCATTGGAGATGGGCAGTATAAGCGCTGTGGGGTGACATCTGTGCCTGATATCCGACGCTGCCAGTTGACCCCCAATGACAGGTAAAAGGGCCTTCCCAAAGGCACAGCACACACGCAGTGTGTGGTTGTTCCTAGTCGGTGTCCAGTCTCTGCCATAGAGGTGCATGTGGGGAGATAGCAGTGTCTTAGGCTCTAGGGGTGTGGAAACAATGTAACTAATGGTTGGGGTGCCCGCTGAGGGGGTGCCTTGCAGCATAGTGTTGCCATGGGGAGGGGTGCTCCTGTTGGAGGCCATACTGTGGTGTCCAAGTGACCATGTTAAAATGCAGCCGAGCAGGTGCCAGTAATGGCAGCAGGGACTTGGAGAGGTGAGATGGTCTTGGGTGTTGGGACTGGCTGTGCAGGCCTGGCCAGGTGGACTTTAGAGAGTGAAAAGTGTTCTTTTCAGACCAACGCTACGGGCCCCTAGGGCCACAGGTCCTCAGTGTAAAGCACCACTGAGGATGCTTCACTTGGACCTGAATGTACCCTCAGCTGTATATCCTCGAGAGATGGTGCAAGGCTGTGGCAGTGGGTCCAGGGTGTTTGCCACGGCCCTGTGCCCATGGGCTTCTCCTTGACTGAGAAAGCAAGGCACCTAGCCTTGGGGCGGTGGTTATGGGTGGAGACAGGGGGAGCCCACTTGTGCTGTGTGACATCCCACTGAAAACTGCCTCTAAGGAGCACCAGTCTTGTAGTTATTTTTACAAATTGTTAGGCAATAGGGAGACAAGTGTTTATGCCGCTCTGGGCCATTTTGTCTTTATAGTCTGCTGCTAAAACTCCCTGATGTTTCTTCCTGGATGGTAGGTTCATTTTGCTGGCCTGTGATGGGCTCTTCAAGGTCTTTACCCCAGAAGAAGCCGTGAACTTCATCTTGTCCTGTGTGGAGGTGAGGAACGTCACCTTCTGGTGGCACTTATCCCAACTACACCTTCATTTCTAGGGAGCAGAGACCCCAGACTCCTTGTCCTCCTCTCAGCACCCCCCACCTGTGTATTTTCAGTACCCAGGGAACTCATAGGTCACTTCCTGCCAGCCCCAGTGAGGAAGAGCAGTGCCTGCCCTGGCTCCTGTGTCTCAGGAGTGATAAGGAGCCATCTGGGTCAGCTCTCCTGGGGCTGGGTCATACTCCGTGACATCCACAGCTTAAAGGATAAGTTTGATTAGGCCCACAGTTTCAGGGCATTCAGACCAGTGATAGCTGACCGGAGGCAGTAACTCATGGATTAAGGAAGCAGAGGTTTGGGAGAGCGCCATCTGGGCATCACCGGGGTGGCCTTGGCGGCCTCCCTGCAGCGGCCTCCCCATGGCCTGCTCCTGTACTGGGCCCCCGTCACAGCATTTGCACCAGGACCATGGGGCAGCTTGTGCAGCGGTGAGGACAGGTCTCCACCTCCCTCCCAGGATTCTCTGAATTCAGCCGAGATGCTGACTGCCTGCCCGGGCTCCTTTTCTTCCTGGTAGGATGAGAAGATCCAGACCCGGGAAGGGAAGCCCACTGTTGACGTTCGCTATGAAGCTGCGTGCAACAGGCTGGCCAGCAAGGCAGTGCAGCGGGGCTCTGCGGACAACGTCACTGTGATGGTGGTGCGGATAGGGCTCTGAGGGCTGTGTGCGGGCTGCCCTGCACGGTGTTTATGTGCATGGGCTGCATGTTTGTGCGCCCATGTGGGACTCCCACGGCTGTAAATAAAGGTTTCTTTCTTTTTTCCCCTGGTCTTTTAAGTTCCCCTAGCCCACTGTGCACGGGCCCCTTCAGAAGCTGAGTGTGTGTGCTGTGGAACACGCTCTGGGCCGTCCTTGTCAGGACCCTGTGAGCAGCTCGTGCTGGCTGGCTGCAGTTGCAGGAGCTAGGGCCCTTGCTGGGTTTTTACCCTCAAGGTGAGCCCTGGGGCAGTGGTGCCCAGCAGGGACAGGCTAGGACCAGCACCAACTTTTGGAACCCTCAAGTTGCCCGGGTGCTCCAGCTCCCTGCTCTCAAAGTCAGAGGACAGGCCTGACGCCCTGGGGTACATCGTGCACTGCGGCACTAGCTGCTTGCTGCCATACAGGACTATCCTGAAATCATAGGCAGCATGAGCCGGGGCCTGTGTCGGGGATTCAGGTGACGAGCATGCGTGAGCAGCTGATTCCTAGCACTTGTTTGCAGGTGGAACATGTTGCTCGGTTTTCTCCTAAAGCAGATCCTGGATTCTGTCAGTGCCTTTCCAGAGCTGCCTGCTATGTGCCCTGGGCCAGGCTCAGCTCTCCACCTTATCACCCAGCACTCAGGATGCTCTGTGCCCTGGGTCTGCTAGCTTCAGTGCTGTCCCTCCTCCAGCGGGTGAGAAGCTGGCCATCGGTTTGCTGTGGACTGGGACCAGAGACAGTGCATGGCATGACGAAGCAGAGGACCTCGGCATTGGGAGTTGGGAATAGATGTATTTGGAAAATGTTTCCTTATAGCAAACCAGGCGTCCTCCTGCACCCCACGTCCACAGTCCCCTTCTAGAGAGGCACAGCTGTGGCCTCCCCAGGAGGCCCTCCCTGCCACCTCCAAGGCCAGCCCAGGTGAACAGTGGTTCTGAGTCAGCTCTGCCCTTGGGTTGCAGCTTCATGTCATTGCGTGACACACATCCAGGTCGTGTTCTACAAGACCCTGGCAGGCTGCTGCATTCCACGCACATGTGGGGAGAATGAGATAGGTGCCCATGTGACCTCTTGGGGTAAAAGATAACACATCTGCCCACTGGGTACCAAGTAAGCCGGAGAAGGGAGTGCCTGTGCCACTTTATCGGCACAGGGTGGAGCTGGGATGGGCCACTGGCACTTCCTGGTAGGGCGGGTTCCAGTCCTACTGAGAATAGGCCTGCTGCGGGTGGTACATTTGGTCTGTGGCATCGTTGGGCTGCCTGGTATGGCATGCTTGGCTCTGGAGTACGGGCCTGGGAGCCGGGATCCTTGGACCTGGCCGTGGTCACCTTGTTCTGAGGCCACCTGGCTGGTGCTGTGACTGACTGCTGTCCCATTTCCCCAGGTCTGCACATGCCAGCCAGGAGGCCACTCCTGGTTCTCAGCACAGTTACTGCCTGCTTGGGGCCAGTCTTAGGTCTCCTCAGGGGCCCAGCTATCACTTTCCCACCAGACAGCCCACAGTACATGCCAGGGTAGCGGTAACCATCCCTGGGCCACTGGCCCTCACCACCCATGTGGCAGTCAGCGCCTGGCTGGGGTGCATGCTCAGGGTATGCTGTGTCTCTCCAAGGCCTAGTGGTGAGCAGAACCTTGGCACAGGAAAGATGTTGGTGAGCAGCAACCTCAAGGAAGGCTGTCACTGTGCTCACAGGTACTGGCCCTCAGTCTCCTGGAGGTCCTGTCCCGCATCCCTGCAGTCCCTGAGCTGCTGTGCCAAGTGTTCTCGGTGAGCCTTGGGTCCAGCAGGCCAACCAGGGCCCTGCAGGCTACTGTGCAAGGGGTGAGTGGGGCCAGCTGGGACAGGCAGAGCTGCTGAGGGCCCCTCGGCTCTGACCCTGCTCCACCAGGCTGTAGCAGGGTGTGGCAGGTGCTGTGGGTGCTGGCCCTTCCCAGAATGATGCCAGCCTTCCCCTTTGCAAGTCGACATCAGGAAGCTGCTGTCGGGGACACTGGCTTGTGCTTCACCTGTGTGTGGCCACTGTCAGGCCCACACCTCTGCAGACTTGCTCAGGAGAAGATGGGCGGCCGTTCACACACCCAGGAGAACGGCACTGAAGTAGGAGCCGCTGCGCACAGTGAGGGTGGAGCTGCTGGCGTTGTCTAGGAAGACAGAGGTGTACTGGCCCACCTGCAGGAGCACAGCACTTGTCAGCCGCCACTGCTCTGCACTGGCGGACGGCAGAGCCTGGGGTGGGGGAGCAGCGCTCAAGCCTGGGTCCCCAAAAGAGCCTGAGGACTCGTAGGCTGGGCCCAGGAGGCCACCTGCTGAGCTGCTGTGCCCACAGGAGCTCAGGCCTGCCAGGTCAGACCTCAGCATCCAGCACACGATTGGTTCAGGAGCCAGGCATCCCACCAGGGCTGGGAAGAGGGGATCCCTGCTGGGGTCGGCAGAGATGTGACTAGCTTCTCTCTCATAGGAAATCCCACCTTTGCATCAGCTTCCACCACGGGCCAAGTCCCCACGGTGCTGAGGAGATGCCTGCTCAATGTTTAGTGTAAGAAATAACGTGGGGACCCGCTGTGGTGGTGCACTCCTGGAATCCCACACTCGGGCGGCTGAGGCAGGGGCAGGAGGATCACTGAGTTCAAGGCCTGCCTGGGCTATAAAGTGAGTTCAAGCCCAGTCTGAACTGCATAGTGAAACCCTGTCTCAAAAAGGCAAAAAACGAAAAAACATCTTGGGCTTCACCCAGCATCAAAAAGCTGTGCCCACCCCCACGGCCTCGGAGAGGACCAGGGCAGCTAGGAGCACCCCTGGAGCATCAGGCACACAGGAGGTCTGGACACTGGGGACCGCCAGGCTCGGCTTCCTGAGGAGTTGGGGACCTGAAGCCTGGCTCTGGCCAGACCTGCGATGGCCCTCAGGTGGGCCCCACAGCTCCTCCGCAGACCCACCAGCCCCCTTTCCCTGCGCCCGGCCCAGCTGGCCCCACGCACCTGCAGGTACAGCACACCATTGACGGAGGTAGTGAAGAACTCACTGCCGCTGTCCAGGCCCACAGCAGCCTCCAGGGAGCTGCAGCCAAGACAGACAGGACACCTTCACCCGTGGTGACCTTGGGGTCCCCAGCTCAGCGCCAGGGCCAGCCTGCCCCCTCGGGCAGGTGATGTATGCATGGGGGCCTCAGAACGCAGTCAAGCAAGGAGCAGCAAAGCCCTGGCTCCAGTGGGAAAGCAGATGTTGCTGGTGCCTGGGGCAGAGGTGGCACTGTGGCCGCAAGTGACACAAAGTGGCCAATGCACACAGGGCTGTCAAAGCCAGAGCCTCAGTTTCCCATCTGTCCACATGTCCTCTAGCCACGTGTCAGTGTATCGTGTGCCTGGGCCCCATGCCAGGGACGGTACTGTGCAGTGGGTTCCAGGGCAGAGTCCCCAGGGAAGGGAGGGAGGCCAGGGGTGGCTCTCGGGAGAGGACATCAGTACAACAGGAAAGTGGTGGGCAGGGCAGACCAGGCCAGGCCTCCTGGGTGCTGGGACACAGCAGGCGGGTAGGAGGAAGCCACAAGGCCGGAGGGTGCTGGGCACTCACACGTTGCCTTGGCAGCGGGACTGGATGCAGATGAGTAGGCGCAGGCGGTCCCGGGCGCGTGGTGAAGCCCGCCTGGGCAGCTCAGGCAGCACTGTGGGCAGGCAGGCAGAGGGCAGTGGTCATGCAGGGTCTGGCAGGGAGGAGATGGGTACACCTCCCACGCTCCGAGCCTCACCCACGTGCAGCGTGGCAGCGAGTGCGTAGAATCCGGCCATGGGTGCTGTGTATTGGCCGCTGGTCAGGTTTAGGCCTGGGCCGCGGTGGAAGGCGCCCTGGGCATCTGGCTGCGGGGTGCACAGTCGGTCAACCGGCCCCACGTGGTCCCCCACCCTCCATCCCCAGCCAGCCAGCTAGCACCACTGACCAGATAATAGATGCCAAGCTCATGCAGTGTGCGCCGCTCCACCACTGTGTCCTTGCGCAGGCGGCAGAGGAAGGCAACCTCCACACGCAGGGCTGGGGCCAACAGCACCAGCTCCACATCCTCATTGTCCTGGGTAGCCGTGGACTCAACGGGGCCCCGCATGCACAGCTTGCTTTCCATGCGCTCGCGCTGCCGCACAGCTCCTGGCATGGAGTGTGCAGTGGGTTCCCAGGACCCAATAATCACAGGGTCAGCACCCTGCCCTGCAGCTGCCAGGTGCCCTTCAGCCGTGCCCAGGCCCCACCCCACACCCCAGCCCTCCAGGCTCCATACATAGAAGCTGGGTGTAACTTGTACAGCTACACTGGAGGAATAGCTAGGACCTTCTAAAAGGCACTAGAAGTGTTTTGGGGTTTTGAGACAAGGTCTCACTGTGCAGCCCAGGCTAGCCTAATACAAGCAGCAATTCTCCTGCCTCAGCCTCCTGAGTGCTGGCCACAGGCACGTGCCATGACAGCCAGCTGAAAGTGGCACTTAAAAATGCATAAGCTCCATGGAGTGAGAGGGGAAAGATGGCAGTTCTTCATCATACACCCGATTCCTGTAAATAACATGGGCTGAGCTCAGCATCAGCCCACAGTGCAGACAGCTGGGCAGGAACCTCAGGGCTGGCCCACGTGCTGCGGACACGGAGTAGCCATGAGCCCTCTCCCAACCTGGGCGACCCTCCAGACCCAGCAGCTTGTGGCTGCAGTCTGTCCCCAGGGTCCTAGGCATGCCCCATGTTACCTCTACCTTTCAGCAGCAGCAGGAACTCCTTTAGCAGTGCCTCTGGCAGGATCAGGGGGCCCGGTGGGTCCTGGGGGCCAGGGGGCCCAGGAGGCCCCTGCAGGCTGAGCTGGAAGGAAACCCTGGTGCTGAGGATGGGAGCAGGGGCTGTGAGCCTCGGGCATCCCCATTACCTCTGAGGACTAGGGGAGTACTGTCCCCAATGCATGGCCTTACTCTCCTGTCAGGAGCATCCCCTGAGTCAGGTGGGCTGGGCAGGCTGGGGTGGCCCTGGTCCCAGGGACAGGGACTCCAGGCCCCTTTCCAGGACCTGCATTTCCAGTTAGCCAAGTCAGCAAGCCTCCTGCCTAGAGCCCAGCACCCTAAGGCACCCACATGGGCCAGGTCAAGACCCAACCCAGGAAGGGGTGAGTCCCCTGCACAGAGAGGCCTGCGGCAGGGCAGGGTGGCTCAGGGAGCAGGGAGGTGGGCAGGGCTGTGGAGACAGACAGCCCAGCTGAGCCCACCTTCTGCCACTGCATCAGAGGCCAGTGTGGTGAGGCAGCTCTTCACAGACAGAGCATCCCTGATCAGAGGTCCAGGCCACAGGGACAGGGCCCACTCCAGGGCTCAAAGCAGGAGCTAGCCATCAGGGTAAGGTGCCAGGTCCCTGGCAGGCCAGGCCCAGGCCGAATGACAGCAGAACCCAGGCAACGGGAGAGAATGGGAGTCTGGGGACTGGCCTGGCCCCTGGTGCATAGCCCCAGGCAGGCAGCTGGAAGCATTGGAGTGCTGGTGGGGTGACTGTGGGCAGTGCTCACCTTCAGCCTCCGGGCCTTGCCTCCATTCCTCTTGCCGTTTACGCCCTTACCACTCTGTCTTGTGAACAGCATCCAGGAGTCCCGGGGATCTACACTGTGTGTGCGCTCTGTGCCAGGTACCTGGAACACAGCCCACCCTGGACGTCCTCAGGGGTCCTCAGGTACCAGCACCCAAGAGCAGCCAGGAAGAGGTGGCTGTGATCATCCAGGATCCCAGCTGCCAGCAGCCGGTCTGTCCCTGCCCATGCAAGTCCCAAGGAGGCAGTCGCAGTCTAGGGCACAGTGGCAGGGGCCAGGTAAGATGTGGCGCTGGTCATCTTCCTTGCACCCTGAGTCCTGGCCCAGGCAGGGACGGCAGCTCTGGGGACTGCCAACCTGTGCATGGGTGCCTGACAGGTCCTGATTCAGGGCAAGTTCAGGGAGGAGCCGCAGTTCCTGGCAGAGGCCCTGGGCCCACTGAGCAGCAGGCCCGGCCAGCAGGGATGCCAGCAGGGAAGGAAAGGGCTCAAGCAGACTTAGATGAGGTCGAGTGTGCAGATCTGGTGCCTGAGGGCAGTGCTCAGGATCTAACAGCTTCCTGGGAGCTTTTGCCCAAGACAGCCTGAGCCCTCAAGTCTCAGCCTGCAGCTTTGTGGGTAGTCCCTGCCAAAAATCACATACAGACCTTGTCACCCATGGGGGAAAACCTGTGTTGGAGGGAGCACAGGGTGGACAGTGTCCAGGCCCCTGATACTCTATGCTGCCCTTCATCCTTCAAGGCCACTGGGTGCATTCCAGGACTCTCCGGTGGCTCCACATGGCACAGAGATCTTCACACAGGCCATGGCAGGGCACTGAGCTGACCCAGCGGGACCAGTGGCCCTGTTGACTTGGACCCCACCTGGCTTGGGGGGGACACATGGAGCCTTGTTGATCTTGGGCCCCAGGGCGGGGCCTATTGCAGTGTGGTGGGGAGCCACTGGTCACACCCAGAAAGGAGCCCTGGAGCCTGAGGGATCCCAAGGAAGGCCCAGGGCCACAGCCTGCCTAGTGGCCCCAGCCCTTGCCCCTGCCTGGCGGGGGGGCCTCTTGGAGCTCTGGCTCACCACCCAGAAGTACCCAGCCTTGAGGGCCTGGAGGGGGACTGGGAGTCCTGCGCATCTCTCCCTTTAATGGGCACCTTCCTGGCCAGGTTCCTGAGCCCGGTGCTGGGGCCAGAGCCCTGTGTGGGACCACAGACACCTTCAGAGACCAGAGACCTCGCCCTCCCTGACTTCCAGGCCGATGGGACATCTGGGAGGTGCTACCAAATTCTCCCAACCACAGCCCAGGTCCCAGGCCCTGGGCAGGAAGGCGTGGGGCCCGGCTTTAGACCGCTGCTTCCTGGCCAGGAGTCACCAGGCAAAAAAGCCAAAACGTGGGGAGGAGGGGTCCTGGGCCACGAACTCCTGTGATCCTCCAGGAGGGCCCGCAGCGCGCGTGCTTGGCACACTTGCGCCTTCCCAAGTCGCTTTCCACGTTGCCAGCTTCCTTCGCTGGTGCGGCTGATTTTTGGTTTGAGCCAAGAACCATTCCCACGCCCAGGTCAGGTCCCCACCCGACTTACCGGCGGGCGCATGGCGGGGTGCGCGCTACTCTCGGCGGGCAGCAGGGCCCCGGGTGGGGACCGCGGGCGCGTGTGGCTCCCTGCAGGCTCCGGGGCACCGAGCCCAGCGCACACGAGCAGGAGCCCCGTGCAGACGGACAGCAGGCCTGCTCCGGCAGGGCTGCGAGCCGGGGCCATGCGGACGGCGGATGAGCGCGACCGAGGACCCGGCGCCTTTTATCGGCTCAAATCCCGCACCCTCACGGCCGCGCCCCCTCCCGGCTCCCAGGCGCGCTGCAGGATGCGGGGTACCAGTCCTAGCACCCCCTCCTGTCCAGTGCGCCGACCCGCCCCCACCCCTCGCTGCCCCGCATGTGCTCGGCGGGGACCCTGGCGCCCTGCGACGCCCTGCAAGGCTGGCAGGCAGGCGGAGCGCGGGGCAGAGGTCACCGGGACCTACAGGACTGACCCGGGCCATGTGCACAGTGTGTGGAAGACAGATATGTCCTGCCAGGTCGGCGCAGGTGCATCCCGCCCTGCAGACCCCTGCGCCCCTGGCCTCCCCGCCAGGGCGCTGTCATCCCAGCCGGAGGGCAGAGGCCAGCACAGTGCTCCCTCTGGGGCAGGGCGCCCCTGTCTGGGTCGGTGTGGACCCAGCGTGGGTGGGAGCCCCGGGACCGGTAGGGGTGCCCCAGCCTCAGGGATGGTGCCCTGGGAATCTGGTCAGGCCACCTTTCCCAACTCTCGTGAGGTGCCCACATGCTGTGCCAAGGCACCGGGCCAGGCCGCGCGCGCTCCAGAGCTCTTTGCAGTTGGATCGGCCCATGTTTGCCACAGGTAAGGATCCCGTTCGCCCCGGAGACTGGGGGTCGCGGGTGCGCAGCTCTGCTCTTCACGTCCCTTCTGCCCCACCCCTATCTCCTGCTCGTGGCAGAGCTCTGTCTCTGTTTCCTGACATCTTTTCTTTTGTGCCCCGTACTTGTGCTTTGGGTTTCTCATATCAAAAGAAACCATGTGGGGGGCCTACCCCTTAGCTCAGTTCTTTAAGTGGCTGCTTCTACAAAGCAGTCAGGCTCAGGTTGCTGTGATTGGATCCCCACAACTCAAGCCAGCCAAACCTTCCCTGAAGGCATTCGGAGCAAAAAAAAAAAAAGCCATATGGTACTGAAGCTTGAGTATCTGATGTATTTCATGTTATGCTGCATCCTTTTTTTCTTCTTTCCTCCTTTTAACTCTCACTGTGCAGTTCCGATTGGGCTTGAACTCACTGTGTAGCCCAGGCTGGCCTGAAACGCGAGGCGATTCTCCTGCCTCAGCCTCCTGAGTGCTGGCATCACAGGTATATGCCACCATGGCAGGCCTATTTCCTTACTGATGACTCAAGTTCAACCTTCTTTATGGCACAGTGCTCCATCTATGCAAATACTTCATTTTCCTTGTCCATTTGTCTTGAACTCCTCACTTTAGAGAAAGCAGTATTTGGAGTTATTGTTTGCTGGGATCCAGCTCTTTTCTGAGAGGCTGTGAAGGTGTGGTGGGCCTAGGGAGGCCCAAAGAAAACTTACCCTGGGCTGGGGAGTTAGTTCAGCAGCGTAAGCACCTGCCTGGCAAGGGCAAGGTCCCAAGTTTGATCCCTAGTACAGCCAAAATTTTCTCTTTTTTAAGAAGAAAACTCATCCTGAGAAGTTGCCCCTTGGCCTGGGGCCCAGAGCCTTGGCCCTTGGAGCTGCCTTCGCCTGGCAAGCAAGGATTGCAGAGGAGTTCTGTCTTAAAAGCTGATGTGTAATTTTATTTTATTTTATTATTTAGTACCAGGGATTGAGCTGGGGACTTTGTGCTTGCCAGGCAGGCGCTTGTGCCACTGAGCTGTCTCCCCAGCTCTCTGTTGGGCAATTTTAAAAAGTAATGAGGTTAGTTAATTCCTGTAGACATTGTTGATCCGCACCTGAGAAACACGACCCAGCGTGGACTCTGCGGGGCCTGAGCTTGCTCCAAGGGAAGCCATGGGCAGACTCGTCAAGATAAGGGCCTGTGACCGCCCCCTCTGCCAGGGAGAGAGGGTGGGGGCTGCCCCGGGCTTCCTTGCGATGCAGCACAGCCCATAGAGGTGGCCAATTGGCCAGGGGCACACAGCCCGGGCAGCATGGCTGGCGGAGGCCAGCTCACTAGACACCAATGTGGCCAGCACTTCGTGCCACTGGGGTCTTCCTACGTGGGCTGTGTGGCACGAGTTCAGGATACCTTTGAAGGGGCATGTTTTTCTCAAAGGGCAGGTCTGCCTGGTGCAGGATTCCCTATGGGCCTGGCTGTGATTCGACCTGGACTCCCCTTGACTTGACCTGTATCCAGGCAGGTGAGGTTTGGCTCTGCCACATTTGAGAACACCAGGAATGTAGGGAGACTGGGAAGTGTGACCTTGAAATGCCCAAGTGACATCACCCCCTCCACAGCAGCCAGCCAGAGGCCAGGGCCCAGGACCCAGGCTGTTACCCAGGGAAACAGCTATTGTCCCAGACACTGAGCAGTCCTGTGACGTCACCAGCTCCACCTGGACCCAAATCCAATTGGTTCTGGTGCTGGTGCAACCTCCTGCTATGCTGTCCTGCTGTCCCTCCATGGCGATGACAGTTTGGTGGGGTGGGGGAGGTGACAGAGCAAGCATGTTGGGCCTTTCAGTGGGGCCCTGTGCTTCTGGGTTCCCCTTTCCAAAAAAGGTTTTCTTTCAGAGGAGGTAGAGCTTAGCAAGCAATCAGATTGATCACGGAAACCAAGTCCTCCTGTAGGAGGTCTGGGCTTAGAAGGGGATGACACCAGGGAGTCCAGGATGGGCACTCTGCACCCCTACATGCCCTGCTGAAACCCGAGCCTGGCTCCTGGACCTTTGGTGCTGGCTCCCCACAGCTGGAGTCTGAGATGTGCGCCACTGCTCCTTGCAAATGAGATCATGGGAAAAAGGCTCTGCCTGGCACTGGGAACCTGAAGTCACCCTGCTGTGCTGTCTTCAGTGCTCAGGCCACGGCCACAGTGTCCCGCCCAGCCCGCCCGGGTCACTTGATGCCCCACTCCCAGGATTATCCCAGGGATCAGGAACAGGGCCTCCAGGCCAGGTATTGGGGGTGGCCCAAGGTCATGGAGTTTCAGGATGTGCACAGCGCCCTTGGGTACCAGATACCCTTCCAGAGCTCCATGTGTGTTCTCCAGTGGGAGGCTGACAGCTCCCTGCTGGGCCTAGTGATGTGCTGTCCCCCAGCGCAAGGCATAGCTTGGTGAAGCTGAGGTGCCTCACAGGATGTGTTATGCTTTCTATCTAGTTGTCCCCCCAAAGCCTCATATAAATCATGGGGTGGTTGCGTCGGGGCTTGAGGAGTAGCGAGTGCCTTAAGGGGTGGGGCCAGAGGACCAGGGCCAGACAGGCACGAACAGTTAAACTGGCAGCATGTGCCAGGGCTGTGGTCTCTTGGAGGTGTGGAGGAGGTCAACCTGGACACGGTGGTGCCCTCCAAGGCCTTGCTACATAATCCAGGCTGTTTTAAACTATGAAAACTCCAGTAACTAACAGTAAGTAACAGTTACTCTTCTCTTGTTGCTGGAACAAATACCCAACACTCAAAGTTGAAGGGAGGAAAGGTTTATTTAGCTCACAATTACTGGAGTTTTCAAGACACTGCCCCCGCTCTACAGGGTCTGGAGGAGACGCTGGGGCACTGCTGTGCCCAGGATGACCCTCCCCACATCTCTGAGAGTCCGCTGGCTTAGGGGGGAGGTAGAGCGCATGCTGCCAGCTTAACAGTTGGCCCCTCGCTGGCCCTGACTCTCAAACCCCGCCCTGGTCCTCTGGCCCCAACCCCTTGAGCCACAGGCTGCTCCTCAAGCGGCTGCAGTCCCATGATTTCCATGAGGCTTTGAGGGGACAACTAGATACAAACCATAACAGGAGGTGTGAGGAGTGTGCCTCTCCTGGACAGACATGGCTCTCCAGGGGGTCTCCCCCTCACAGCAGAGAGCAGGTTTCACCCTCCAACACCTTCCAATTGCCCATCTCTGATCAAAGTGAGACTGTGGGTACCTTGGAATCTCCACTTTTAATATTTATTTATTTATTTATTTATTTATTTATTTGGTACAGGGTCTCACTACTCAGCTGAGACTTGTAGTGATCCTCCTGTCTCAGCCTCCCCAGCACTGGGATTACAGGCATGGACTACCTAGTTTCGGTGGCCGGCATGGTGTGCCCAGGGTTCTAGGGCCAGCACAGCATGTGACCCATGTCCTTGCGCTTGCCAGGCAGGTGCTTAGACTACAGAGCTATGTCCCCAGCCCAGAATCTCTACTTTTATTTTGAAACAAGACCTCCCCACCTGGCCCTGGGCCTCCTGCGGTGGCCTCCTGAATGGCCGGCAGTACAGGGTGCGCAGGTGCGCACCACTACACCTGGCTGCAGGGGCTTCTCTTGGAGCAGTCTCCTGGCTGGCTGCTTCCACAGGGAACCCTGGCACTTTCTGCCCAACCCATGGCCAGGTACTCAGGCCCTGCCTTTCCCCTTGAGGGCTGGCACTGGACCCCACTCTGTCCAGGTCCTCTAGAACCAGGGTACTTGGCAGGCAAGAGCCTGTGGGCCAGACCTGAGGGGACTCCCATTGGAAAGGACAGGTGCTACCCAGACCTTGCAAGCTGGGGCTGTGGCAGCTCCTATGTTGTTTCTGCCCACATCTGTGGCAGCCAGGTGTCCTCAAGCCAGTGAGTCCTTCATTGTGTCCTTGCTACAAACCCAGAGCCTGAGGGGACTGAGTCAGCCCTGGGGGCACCCAGAACCTGCTGCCTCTCTCAAGGGGACACAGCGCAGCCATGAGCCCTTCCCAGGAACTCTTTGCCATCCCAGGGCAGCTCGTCCCCTGGGATGAATCCATTCTGAGAGAGGGCCTGTGGCCATGAAGGTCACCCTGAGAAGGGGGTTGGACAACTGCCCAAGGACTCCAGCCTCCCGTCCCACACCCGATCCTTCCTGGTACCCCCCTGGGCTGCCTTCCAAGTGGAGGTCACACACGGGGTCGAGCAGGGCCCTGGCCTGGGCATGAGCAGATCGGGGAGCAGTGTGGGCACCCCAAGGCCCACAGAGATGCTGTGACCATGTGTGGTGGGCACAGGGCAGGAAGGACGGAAGGAGGCCACCCGGGGTCAAGCGCAATAGGTGGGGAAGCAAGTTGGCAGGGGTCCTGCCCGAGTCCTGGGCCCCTTCTGCCCCCACCTGCTATTGCACAGCCCCCCAAACCCATTGTAGGGATGCAGAGTGGGAGCCAGGGGTTCTGTGCATGCCGTTCTGGGCCCAGGTTTCTTCCCTGAGACCCTGGACATCCCAACACACTGGGCAGCTTGGAGCATGTTGCAATGGATCCAGCCGCTAAGGCTGTGTCCCCAGGCTGTGCTGTGTGCCCTGAAGGCTGATGCCTAGCTGGGCCCTGGGGGGCAACAAGGTCCTGCCTGGGGACCACCAGGGCTGGGGCTTTTGAGGGCTCGTGGGCTAGGGCTCCAGGCCAGAGCTGAAGGGCTGTGTCCACCTGGAGACATCGAGAAAGATGGCAGAGGCCCCGTGGTAGAGCCAGAGCCGGGGTAGGGCGCCGTGGCGGGTCCAGGCGTCCCGCACTGTGTCATAGGCCTCCATCTCCACATGGTAGTCACCCTCCATGCCCTGCCAGCGGCCTCCTGTCACGTACAGGGCATCACCCAGGGCCACCAGGGCACCATTCTCATGTAGGCTGTGCTGGGACTGCACCTGAAAACCGAGGAGAGGGGCCAGGGCCCCCTCAGGGAACACAGGGCGCCACAGGGCGGGGACTGCCCTCCCAAATCCTGTGCAGGGCACTGGTGATGCTGGGAGCTCGCCGCCTCTCAGAGTGTGGTGGGCGTGGTGGCGCAGACCTGTAACTTCAGCTGTCAAGAGGCTGAGCCAGACCAGCACAAGTTTGATTCCATCCTGGGCTACACAGTGAAGTCCAGGCTGCAGAGTGACATGCTCAGGGACAGCAGTGGCATGAGGGTTGCAGAGCGCTGTGGTGGGTGCCACAGCTGAGGCCAGCACTGGGGCTGAGGCCTGCCGTGGGGCTCAGGAGTCTCCTCCCAGCTTGCCTGGCCCCAAACACACTCCTGGTGGCCGCCTCTGGGAAGAGCTGCGAGCTGCAGGGCCTGGCTTTGCCTGCCCTGAAGGGCGCACCCTCGCCCCTGCCCGGGCTGCCCCTGTAGAGTGACGCAGGTGGTGGCACTCACCTTCTGCCACAGGTTGGCTCCCACGTCGTAGGCGTAGACCTTCTTGGTGTTATCACCGATGAGGTAGAGAGCCCCGCGGAGCGCAGCACAGCGTGGCGAGGACAGGTACTTGGGCAGGAAGGGTGAGGCAATGACACTCCAGGCATCTGCAGGGCACACAGCACTGTGCCAGGGCCTGGGGGCTCCTGATCATGGAGCCCAGGGGGCGCCTCTCCCCATCTCAGTGCACCGGCCACCGGAAGAGGCCTCTCTTTGAGCCAGGGCTTGAGGTCCCCAGGAGCCTCAGCCTTGGGGTCCTGGCCTGGAGTCCTGGGCTGCAGCCTCCTTCCTGGCCCTTCTCAACTCTCCCCAGGGGTCCATCCACCTTGTGGACTTGGACATCACTGTACAATAGATCCCACTTTCACCAACCAGAGGGTGAAGCAGGTCCAACCTGGAGCCAGGGGCCACTGAGCTGGAGACTGTCCAGTGGGGGATCGAGACCAAGGCGCTTGGTGGTGCCCCCTAAAGGCTGCACCACGGGCGCAGGGCAGACGGTAGCTCACTTCCAGCGGGCCACGCAGGGACTCTGCAAGGTGACTCCCAAGTACCCCGGCCCCTGACCCTCCCCATCTTCCCCTGCCATCCCAGCTGGTGGGATGCAACCCAGGCCCCACCTTGGCTGCTCGAGCCCACCTGTGACGGGGTTGTAGCACTGCAGTGCGAGGGCATTGTACTTGCACGCACTGGAGCCCACCAGGTAGAGCCGGCCCTGGCAGCCAGCTGCCGAGAAGTTGCTGACATACTTGAGCGCCGGCCGCACAGGCGTCCAGCTGTCTGTGTAGGGGTCGTAGCTCTCCACCTCTACTACATCCAGTGTGGTGCCTGCAGGGGAAGTGAGGGACAGGGCTGCAGCGGCTGGGAGGAGGGGAGGGCTGTGCAAATCCAGGCTTGGTACCCAGAATCGGAAAGGCAAGAGGCTGGGCACGACCTGGGGGGCAATGAGTGTGACCACTTCACAGGCAGGGAAGCAGAGGTTCCTGGAGGCCTGGATGTTCAGAAAGTGGAATGGGGCGGGGAGCTGTGGACAGCTCCCTCAGTTCCCGATGGACCCCCGCTGTGACCCCCCCCCCCCGCCCCGTGATCATGCAGGACCCTCATGGCCAGGAAGCCTTGCCTCCACCTCTGCAGATCTGGGGTCCCTGGGCACCCAGGGCTCTCGAACAGTGTGCACGCTCTGCAGTCTGGTCAGAGGCCTGCCATGGAGAAAAAAGGTAGCGGCCAGGACAAGTGAGGACAGGCAGGGATCATTTTTTTTCTTTTTTTGTCTTTTTGAGAAAGGTTCTCACTATGTAGTCAAGGCTGGCCTTGAGCTCACTTTGTAGCCCAAGCTGGTCTCGAATGCACAAAGATCCTCTTGCCTCAGCCTCCCGAGTGCTGGAATTACTGGTGTGCCGCTGCCTCGCAGGTGTGGCTTTTAGGATCTTTGGAGCCCTGGGGTGCCTAGCTGGAGCGCCCTCTAGTGTCTGGGCCAAGGCTGTCAGCAGGGGCTCCTCCTTCACCCCATGGCTCACCAGGGGCCCCAGCTAAGGTCCAAGCCTGCGGTCACCCCTGCTGGCAGCCAGGCACCACCTGACTCATGCTCTGTCTGCTGTGCTCCACATGCGTCACAAGAGCCCAGGGCCAGCTACCAAGAACACTGGGCAGGGGGCCAGGACTGCCTGTTGGGAGCCGGGCCTGGGCACTATGGCCTCACCAGGTGCCACGGCCTGGCCAGCCACAGGCACTAGTGTCCCTGGCCTGGGGACAAGTGGGGGAGTGCAGGCCCAGGAGGCTCTAAGCAACCATGGGCTAGGACAGTGTGGACCTCACCACCAATGGCGTAGATCTCTCCATTGAGTGCCGCACTGGCGTGATTCGTGCGGGCCTTCAGCATGGGTGCCACCGTCTTCCAGGCTGCCTCCTTCAGAGGGAAGCACCAGGCCTGGGTGGTTGACCAGGTGTCTGTCTTGGTACCCCTAGAGCCACCTGCTGAGAGAGGCTTTGTCCACGAGGATGCCACCGGCCTTGGGTCTCTGGACCACCCCCGCACCAGCCTGTAACCCTGAATGTGCTGAGCCCCAAGCTGCCAGACCTTGGACCAGGTTAGGGCTGCAGAGGTGCCCAGCTGTGAGACCTCTGTCCCTGTAGACAAGGGACTCAGATCCGGGGTTTCTACCCTACATGCTACAGGCAAAGCCAGGGTGACCCAGTCATCACACAACTCTTCCTGAGGATCCCAGGAAGCAGGCATGGGGCTCTGGAGTTGTGTCCTGGCTCTTATGGGCCAAGGGAGGTGAAAAGGCTCCAGCCAAGCCCCCGGGGACCCCGCTGAGGCAGGAGTGTTGGCTGTGGGCTCAGGCTGGGCTCAGGCTGCCCACCTGTGACATAGACATCATTGTTGAGTGCTGTCAGGGAGAAGCCCCACTTGTGGTGGTCTGGGAAGTCGGGGAGCGCCATCCATCGCCCTGGTGGGAAGAGAAGTGGAGGGTCAGGGTGGGCCGGTGCAGGGGCTGGGTGCCGACAGGGACCCCTTGCCATGGGGATGGCCTGCAGGGGCTCAGCTGGTGCAGGGGAGGGGACACCCTAAGGGGGCATTGACACTGGCTCTGACCACCTCATCACTCGGCCCCACAGCATCTCAGAGCCCAACACCAGTGGACATGGGGTGGCACCTGGGGTGCACGAGACAGAGCTCCCCTGGCCTGCATGGATCCCAGGTCTGGTGGGAATGGCCAGGGGCCTCAGCAATGGGCGCCCCCTGTGCTGCACACCACAGACGGGTACCGGACACCCTAACCCTGGCATCAATCTCCTGCCCAGCTCAGCCTTGGTCTCCTTGTCCAGAAAGGGGGTGTCCCTCCAGGGAAGGGAAGGAACATGAGATGGGGGGCTATGAGGGGCAGAGGGACTGTGAACCTACATCCATGGAATGACCAGGGGGAAACTGAGGCCAAAGCCGAGAAATACTCTGTGGAGAGCCCATGAGACTGTACTGGGGGAGGGGGCTCTGGGTGTTTGTGGGAGACTGGGCGTGCCTGTGATAGGGCTCAGGACATCGGAATCTGGGCCTGGCGCACAGTAGAGTTAGCACTGCGGCCAGGCACTGAGTGTCCCTGACTCACATCCTGTATCACCCTGGGGTTCCCACTAACCCGGCACAGCTGCTTCCTGACGTCAACACCAGGCCTCCTCATCACGCGGCCCAGCCGGGACAGCCCTGAACCTGCTTCTGTGTCAGCCAGGGGGACCCTGTGTGGGGCTGGTAGGGACTGTGTTGGCCCAGGACTGCAGCTGGCAGCAAGAGCGCTTTCTCAGGAGGTGACCACAAGGGCCACCGAAGCTCCCCAGGGTCCCCTTTCCCACCTGACACCCTCACAGAGTCCATTTCACAGAGGCAGAAACTGGAGTCCAATCAGGGAGGTGCAGGGAAGCCTTTGGGAGCAGAGCCTGGGCTCTGGCCCTTACATATCACTCCATGCCCTCTGTCATCGGGCGAGGGGCAGGGGCAGCAGGGCCTCCAAGGACCAGCACTTAGCCCTGGGCCTCTCAAAGGCACCCAGATTCATCTACAGCCCACAAAACCCATGGGCACCCCTGGATGTGGTCTTGGCAGGTGCCCAGTTCTCTGTGCAACCTCTCTCGGGCCTGCAGGTGCTGGGGCCAGCGCAGGGCAGGCACTCACTGGCCTGGGTGTCATAGAAGGCAAAGTTCCCGGGGTGGGGCGCGGGCTCCTCATCGCCCTCCTCGTCCTCCTCCAGAGCCCTGCCGCCCACCACTACCAGCACTTCCTTCAGCTTCTGCGGGGGGCTGGGCAGCACCTGGGGTGAGAACAGTAGGCAGGTTGGCACAGTGACCCTGCAGTCCAGGGGCACGTGCACACCTGTGTGCCTGTGTGTATGTGCACATGTGGACACACATGCATGCATCCCTGCAGGCTGAAGAGGACGGCAGCTGCACCACGTGGCTTGGCCAGCAGGCCTACGTCCCCCAGGGGCAGAAGCCCCTGCTTCTGGCTATCATCAGTGCCTCCTGGCTTCCCAGCACCCACCTCGGGGCAACTCCCAGTTCCCCATGAGAGGCCCAGGCCACTGGGGCATCCCTGTGCCTGGCCGACCAGCAGCAAACCACACGGGGTGGCCCAATACCTGTGGCCCCTGCTCCAGCCTGTGCAGTCCTCCACCCTGTAGCACCTGTGCATGGTCCAGCCCCAGCTCGAGGCCAGGCTCCCAGGGCCTGCAGTGACCACAATTAGTGCCTGGCTGGCCACGTGCTACACTGCCAGTCCAAGCCACAGCTCTGTACCTGCCAGGCCTGAGCTGGTGCTGGCTGTTGACCCTCCTTGGGCTCCTGGGCTTGGCCATGTCAGCCTATGCCCCTCAGGGACCTGCCCTACCCAGCACCCCTGCCAGCTCCAACCAGAGTGGCACCCATGCTGACTTGATAGTCACCCTCTGGACAGGTGGCAGCTGTCATGCCGGTCTGTGTCCCCAGCCATGCCACATTTCTGGAGGTTGTTCCTGTCTGTCTCTGAGGCCCAGCTCTGATGCCAACTCCCCCCAGGGCCCATGCTGCTGTCAGCTCCCTCAGGACATCCCTGCACCCCGCTGCTGCCAGCTGCTCCCTCCAGCCTCATGGCTCCATGCCTGGTGAGCTATGGGCTCCTTGACAGATCCCCACACTGAGTCAGGGCCAGGTGAAGACTCACCCCTGGCTCACGGGGCAGTGCTGGGTCCCCGTCACAGCAGCATTCAGAGGTGGGAACCAGGGGACAGGTAGGGTCAGGCGCATGCTCTGCTCATCCTGGGTGGAGCTACCTCCAGCTTACCTCCAGTGGGCTTGTTCATGGGCAGAAGGAGCCTCCTAGAAGCCTCAGAAGCTGCAAGTGCCTGCAGCCCCACCCACCCCCTGCCTCAGAGGGCTTCCTTTTCTGTGAGCCGCATCTGGAGCCATACTTGGCCTCCTTCCTTAAGCTGTTATCTCCTCCATTCTGTCACAGGCTCAGAAAGCTGACAGGCCTGACATCCTGCATCTGTTTCAGTCTATCCTGGAGGGGTGACCAGTGATGCAAACACAGGTGCCCACCCAGGGCAGGGCCCTAAGCACACTTGGGGATGACTGGGGATTCTCACACTTGTTCTTCCCTGTGCGAGGGGTATCTCAGGGATGCCTCTCCTGCCTCTCAGGGGTGGGACCCCTGGCCCCTCACTCACCCCACTGTGGCCCTGGGACAGGGCCTCCTGGCATGCCCGCGACGCCTGGATCAGCGGCTCTGTGGCCAGCAGCTCCTGCACACAGGGCCTGGGCACAGCACCTAAGCATACCAGGCTGAGCAGCCCAGGCAGGTGGACAGCCCGGGGTTGGGGGTCGTGGCGCACCCAGCGCAGCAGGGCCTCAAGCCGGCTCTGTTCTGGCTGTGCTTGCTGCAGGTCGCTGGCCAGGCAGGCGGCCAGCCGTTCCCGGGGCAGCTGCAGGAACTCGTCCTCCTGTGTCACGGCCTCGAAGTTCTCCCGCAGGAAGGCCCAGGCCTTGGCAGCCACCCCGAGCAGGCCCTGCTGCTCCCCAAATTCACAGATACCCAGGCAGTTGGTGGCATCCAGCTGCTGCTGGAGGTAGCGGCCACAGACCTTCTGCACGGCAGGGAAGTGCAGGCGTGAGGCGGTGCGCGTGAGCACCTCCACATTGGCCTGTGTGATGGTCAGCCGGCCTGTGTACACAAAATCCACCAGCTGCCCCACCACGGCTGGCTCCACGTCCCGCAGCTCCACACGTGCTGAGAAGCTCTCGGCAAAGTTGCCCACAAACATGGCATGGAAGTAGGGGCTGCTCAGTGCCAGGAGGCCGCGGTGGCAGGGCAGCTCCTGGTCGCCCACCAGCAGCGTGACATCGGCCAGCTTGGGCTGACAGCGCAGCTGCTGCAGGCCGTCCAGCATGTCCTGGGCATGTGAGGGCAGCTGGAAGTCCAGGTCATCCACGTTCCGCACCATGATGCCGCTGCTGCTGGCTGGAGTGCTGGGTGGGCCTCTGTCCCCAAAGAGGGGCCGGTTGCCTCCTGAGCTCCTGGAGAGGACAGTGAGGTCAGCCACAGTTTCATCTGCCTGGTGACCACCACCCCCAAGGCACCAGGCCAAACCCTGCACAGCAGGCTGAATGCATTCCCATTGTACAGAGAAAACCAGTGGCAGGAGGGTGAGCAGCCCCAACCTGGGACCCCTGTCCACCTTCAGGGTGCACAGTCAGACCCCAGAGGATGGCGACCCCTCCACCCTGAGCCCCAGCAGCTTCTGCGCAGGCTGGGGGAGATATTTGTATCTTCCTGCCCCACTGATGGCACTGCCCACTGCTGTGACCTTGCAGGTAGCTGTGGGCAAGCCATGCCCCTCTGTCTAGTGTCCTTTGCAGAGAGGCTGAAGGTGAAAGTGCCCCATTCCCCCATGGCTCCCTTAGTGTCCTGCCACATCCCCCCAGTACACCCTGGGTTAGCCCTGGCCAGTGAATACTGTCATCTCCCAGCTTGGGACAGGGGGCGGGTTCCCGACCGGAAGTGAGGAGCTGGGAGGAGGTCCGGCCCTTAGGAGGGCTGCTGCTACGGCCCAGGCATTTCCCCAGGAACTGCAGCGGGGTTTCCACCAGCAAATTTGCTTATTCGCACAAACGCATGTGCGCTTACCTGCTTCTGCGCTTTGCCTGAAGAAAACAGTCCCAGAGAATCTGCACTGTGCTCCTCAAAGTCACCCAAGGGCCAAAGACTGCACAGGAGGGAAGCGTCGTCTGCCAGGGGACGCTACCACAGGGCACGTGAGGCCCCAAACCTCAGCCCAAGCCTCCTCGGCCCTCTGTGTCCAGTCCCCTTTCCACAGGCCCTGGAGGGACAAGAGCCCACTTAAGCCTTCTAGAGGCCAGTCGAAGCTCATGCAGGACCTGACGGCTCAGGATACACCTGGTATTCTGCCCCCTTGGGGTAGCACTGGCCTGGTTGAACAGGTGGGACCTTTGGCCACGGGGCCCTGTCCCTGGCCACCACACCCCGCCTTGCATTCCAGGCATCACGGCTGCACTGCCCGCGGCCAGCTGAGAGGGTGGCGGCAACAGGAGGCCCAGCCCCCTCCTGGGACCTGGACTCCAGCGGACACCTGCTACATGGGCTGCCAGCTGGGGCAGGGGCTCCCTGAGCCTTGCTCCCCAGGCCTTTGAGGAATACAGCAGGGTGGGTGGGTAGGGAACCGAGAGACCAGCCCACCTGTGGGCACAACCTGCGTCCTAGCTGCTTCACAGGGGTCTGGCCTCCCAGCCCCCTTCAGTGGGGCAGTATGGGGACCCGAGACCCGCCCTGCTCCAGAGCAGCCAGGCCTGGGGAGGCCTCTGCTGAGAGCTGTGCTCTTGAGTCACAGACCTGACCCCACACCCCATCCCACCCCATCCTGCACCCCTGCTCCCTGCCTCCCCAGAAACCCAGACCCACCTTGAGGACGGCTCCGGACCTGAGACAGAACTGCGGGCCAGAGCAGAGGCTGGTAGCCACGTGGGACTGGGGTATTTTTAGCTTGTGTCTGTTGGGAGGAGGGTGGGGAGGGACAGGCTGGCAGAGGCAGGGAGGTGATGGCTCCTTCCCACTGCCCCTGCGAGAGCCCATGTTGACCACGTCATGCCAGGGCTGTGCCCATGACCAAGGGCCAGATGGACCGCAGGGAACTCCCGAGGCAAAGCTGCGCTTCCATGCTCAAGTGCCATCAGGGAGGTGTGTGTGTGGGGGAAATGCCGGGTCCCCCTTCCCGCATCAGCAAGATGAGGACAGCAGGTGCTGAGTCAGGTACCAGGGACACAGGGAGAGCCCGGTGTGCCAGATATGACGTACACCCAGCTGGCCCCACTGTGTATCCAGGGGACAGTGATGTGAATGGACCCAGCCATGTCCCCACAGCTTGGGGCGTGTGGTGCAAGTGGGGGGCTTTGGTGGCAGTGAGGGTCCCATGGAGCAAGTGTGGGACAGACACAACCCCTTCCTGCCCTGTGTGGCCTTGGCCCAGGGTGCCTCTGCGTCGCCTGTCTCTGAGTGCCAGGACTGCTAAGAAATGGGGTCATCTAAAAATACCACAGCCGGCGCCAGCCTCCTGGGCAGGCCTCAGAGCCCCTGACTCTGTTCCCAGAGGGGCTGCAGAGACCAAGGGCTGAGGAGAAGCTGGGAGCCAGTGGGTACCCAGCGGGGTCCAGTGGGCCGAGGAGCCTCAACTCTCCTCTCTGTGCCTTCCTTTACCCCAGAAGCTGGGAGGGGCCTGCCTGCCCCACAGGGGACAGACCAGTGCCCCTGCAGACAGAGGGGGCTGTGTGGCCCAGGTGACAGCTCTCCTGGCAGAGTGAGGTCTGTTCAGAGCCTTCACACTAAACTACACCGTCTTTTTTATTTATTAATTTTGAGATGGGGCTGCACAGGCTGCAGTGCAATTTTGCTAGCTGCCCAGGCTGGGCTAAAACTTGTGATCCTCCTGCCTCAGCCCACAGCCCCTCCCAGCTCAGCCCAGCCTGGTGGATGTAATGGTTAATAAATTCTGTCAACTTGAGGAGGCCAGATGCTTCACTGGTAACACAGCAGCTCTACATTCTGGGGTGCAGAGGACTCCCCACCACTCTAAGCTGTCGTTCTTTGTGTCAGCCTAAGAAGTGCAGGAATCTAATTCAGTGACTCATCAGGGCGCCCGGGGCCTGGCTTTTTATTCCTCCTGAGCCTGTGCAAGAGCAGGGCAGGAGACTGGGTGGGTGTGAAGGAGCCTATCCCCAGGGCCAGGAGGCCACCTGCAATAAAAGGGACGTGAAGAGGAGGGGCTGCTGTTGCCTGGTGGTGGCCCCTGGCTTCCGCCTGGGACTCTTCAGCCTTCTGGTGCCGACCCTTTGGCCTTTGTCGTAGACTCCTCAGTGTTCTGTTCTGTCACAGACCCATCAGCCTCCTGATAGGGACTTGTGCAGACACCGCAGTGAGCTCCAGACCTTGGACCGTACCCTCCGGTCTCCATCGTATGACTGGCTGCCCACTGTGAGCCCACTTCTCAATTTCTTTTACAGTTGGACATCTTGTGCTATGTCTGTTTCTCTGGTAAAGCCTAACCAATGCAGTAGAACAGGGGACCCTCGTGGGTGGATGTCCCGGTGTCAGGGCAGTGGCGGAGGGTTGATGACTGGCCCTGTGCAGGGTTAACGGAGCCTGTGGACGGAGGGAGGGGACAGGGGATCTGATGACAGCACCTCTAAGGGAGCTGGTTCTGTATGTCCATGGGAACCAGAAAGCAGGTACCCAGTGTCAGCCAGTTGGGACAGCAATACCAGAGGCTCCAAGTGTCCTCGTGGACAGATGCTTCTGGAAGGACAGGCTGAGGTTCGCGTGGTGCAGGCTGTGTACCCACACGTGTCCACCTGGTCCCCTCCCGATGACACTTGAGCTTGCAGACGTAAAAGTTTATGTTTCCTGTGCGCGGAGCAATACCTTGTTTGCCCCAGTTGGGAGGGACATCCAAGTCCCACTGCAGATGTCAGGGTGTGGGGCGGCAATGGGGTCATGACTTCCTCAGGACAGCCTGAGTGTGAAGCCACCAAAGCAAACATGGGACTGCCCTATAGCCCAAGACGGAGTGGGGGGTGCCCCTCAGAGGGACTGGAAGTGACTGGGCCAGAGCTGGGTACAGCGCTGCGCAGCCCCTTTTCTTCCTGCAGCTGAACAGTCAGCTCTCCCCTGTTACCCTCAGACCTTTCCCATGGACTTGCTGAGACCTCTTCCCTGGGGCCACGCGTGCTGGTGTGAAGCCAGGTGTCTCTGACCGAAATGGACAAGTGCTTGTCACAGCCAGCTGGTCTGAGTGTCCACTGCTCTATCACTGTGACACCTTCCACCTGCACCAGCCACAAGCCCTCCTGTGCCACTTATCAGCGAGCTGCTGCTGCCTAGGAAGCTGCCTGGCCCCAGCACCTCCCAACAGTGCCCCATGGCCCTGGCTGTCCTGGGACCTGCGGGTGGTATGGTGGGGTCAGAGCCTGGGGAGGTCACATTCTGCCTGTGCGGCTCCTTGTCCACCACTGAGTTAGAAGAGACCCACACGTTGGCTATATTCTGGGGGGGCTGTGACTGCCAGAGGCGGGGGTCACTGGGGCTCCCTGAGGGGTCCTCACGGCTTCTTTTGTTTCTCCTTCAAAGGAAATTTGCAGTTATTAAAAACCTGGCTGCCTTAAATGTCACCCAAATGTATGACAAAATCCCGACAGTCCTGAGGGTTCACTGCCTCTAAGATCATCTCTATTTTATTTTATTATTTTATGTTTTGGAGACAGGGTCCCAACATGTAGCCCAGATGGACCTCATGCTTGCAACAACCCCCTGCATCAGCCTCTTGAGTGCTGGGATGCCAGCTGTGTGCCAGCCACCCCGCCAGTCTACTTTTCGAGTTTGTCTTGGAACTACATGCGTGCTCCTTTGGGTGCGGAGAAGGCCTGACGCTGACCACGAGGGAGGCAAGCTTGGTTGGGTGCGAGTGGAGGCGCTCTGGGTCCCCGGCGAGCACTGTCTCCCTGTAGGGTGGTCTGATCCACCGGGCCTCACAGCTGCGGTCCTGGGGCTGCCCTGCCCACACAGGACCCTTGCCCTGGGGTGTCACCTGCATTCTCATAGTCCCCTGCTCCGAGAGGCAAAGTGTCTGCCTGCAGCAGGAGTGGGGGTGCCTTCCTCCTGGCATGAGCCTAGACCTGTGCCCAGTGTGCACCTCACCTAGCCCCCACCTGGCCCCAGGACCCCAGCCCCAGGGGCCCCAGTCTGACCATATTAGAAACACGTGAGTGGGCAGCAGCGCCAGAGAGGACACTGAGCTCCGCCCTGAGCATGAGGCCTCGCTCCTGCTTGCCACCCACCCTTCCTCCGTCACCCCTCAGACACCACCCGGCAGGTGGTCACCATGGGACGCCCCAGGAGAGGCCACAGTGCCCCCATTGCTGACACCCCACCCCAGGATCCCTGGGTGGAGCAGGCCTTCGATACAATCATGGGCCATGCTCCTGGGCAGGCTGGGCCCTGGCAGAGGCAAGCTGTGCCTGGCGGGTCCAGCCTGAGACACTGAGCCAAGCAAACCTTGGAAAGAGTCCCCTCCCCTTCGGGTGCAGAGTGCACTCTACCTGGACCCTCGAGGCCACTCAGAGCTGTCCCCACCCCAGCGTGCAATGAGAAGCCAGGCGCCTGGGCACTGAGGCTGCCACCCTGGCCTGCATCGGATCTGGTGCCTGTCCAGGGGCTGGGTGCATGGCCACAGGGTACCCTTGACAGTAACACAAGAGCAAGGCTGACCAGGGATGGGAGATTTACTGATCAAATGCAGGTCCAGGGTCAGCTTTGGGCAAGGGTCTCCAGAGATGGCAGGTGGCCAGCTGTGGCCCAGTGTCAGGGTCAGTGTCCCTTCCCAGCTCTGCTGGTGCTGGCCTCCTGTTGCCACCCCAAGTTCATGTCACTCAAGGTCCCTTTCCGCTGGACTCAGGACTGAGGATGGCTTGCAGGAGGCCCCCTGATGGTGGCCTGTCCCCCTGTCCACTTGGCCCTGAGCCCTGTGGCCAGCAGCAGCGCTGGTGGCCTCCTCTTCGCCCAGGCACAGGGACATCTCACAGCCCCCATCCTGGACTGGTAGTGGCCTAACTTCCAGCTGCCACTAGGAGCTGGGAACCAGCTGCACCTCAATACATGCAGGTCCCTCCTGAGGGTCCCAGGGACAGAGCCCACCTCCTCCCTGTCCTGCTGCACAGAGAAGGGGTGGTCTGGGTAATACCTGAGCACCACACGAGTGGCCAGGCCCTGTCCTCTGTCCTCCCATCCCTGTTCTCAGGGACCTGCTGCTTAGGGGGCAGGGGCCACACAGGAGCCCTTCCTCAGGGACTAGATCCCCTGTGCTGCCCAATGGGTCACTAGCAGGGCAGTGGCTCCATGTGTCGAGGCAGGGAGTCTGTGGACCATCTCCTCACACCTGGACAGTAGGCAGTGGCCTCTGGCTGCAGGGTCGGCCAGGGTCTGCTGTCTTAGACAGACTGGCTCCCCCAATCTCCCTCTAGGGGGTGGAGGAAGGGAGAGGCTGGACCACCAGAGGCGCCAGTCTTCAACCCGGGAAGGAGGTAGGAAGCAGGCTCGCACTATGGTCCAGGCACCCGGTGGAGTGGGCTGGGCTGGGATGTGACTGCCAGGTCTGCCTCACCACAGGACCGGGCCTAGAAGGGCACCATGCTGAGTCCTCCACTACCAAAGAGCAGGGAGGGGGAGGGGGCCGCGCTGTGAGCCACCTATGTGGGCGGTGCTCACTCCCCGAGGTGGAACATCTCGGCCTCCTTCTCCTTCCAGAAGGCAAAGCTGCGGTCGATGTAGCCGCAGATGTCCTCACTGTTGAAGCTGCCCCGCTGCGAGCCCGAACCTGGTCGCTGTGCTGCCGGCTCGGGGACACCTGAGGGGACACCAGTGGGGACAGCAACAGGACGCGGCAGGGGCCCAAGAGGGGTCACTCCTGACTTTCGACCAGGCTCCGTATCCCAGGCAGGACCCTGGCTGGAGCCAAAGAAGCGGGCTTTGATGTCCTCGAAGCCATCGGTCCAGGCACGGCGACCCGCGGCCACCTCGTCGGTCACGGCCTTGTGGAAGGCACGCACCGCCTCCCAGCCATGGGCGCCTAGGTGCTCAAAGACCTCGAAGCATAGCAAGTGCCGCATCTTGCGCTCCTCCGGCGGCAGGTCGCACTCCAGGAGCTGGAAGTAGCCCAGCATGAAGAGGTCCAGCGAGAGGCTGCCGTAGGGAAGGGGTGCCCCGTCCACGTGGGGCAGGAACTGCTCAGGAGACAGGGGGCCGCGGGGCCGCCGGCTCAGCCGCCGCAGCTGCCGGGCAGGCACGTGTGCCAGGATGGCTTTCCAGCTGCCCAGCAGGTGGGCAATGGCGCTGCGCTGCTGCCACAGGTGGCCGAGCCGAGGGCCCGGGACTGGAGGTGGGGAGGGTGGGCGCGGGCTCGCGGGGGGCTCAGGGCCGTGTGGCTGGGTGCGCCGGGCTTCCAGGGTCCTGCATGCAGCCGTCTTGAGTGCGGGCGTGTAGGCGGAGCGCTTCCAGTGGCCGAGAAAGAGGGTGACAATGCGCTCCTTGCGCAAACTGGCCAGGTCTGGCCCGGGCATCACACCCGCCTCCGCCTCCGAGGGTGCCTCCTCGCAGCTGATGCCCGAGTCGCTAGCCTCCTCCGTGTCCCCTGGCCCGGGCTCGCCCCCTGCTGGCCCGCCTCTGGGATGCGGTTCCGCTGGCCAGCAGGCTACCGTGCGTGGGGCGTGCTGGGCGCCAGGCTCACAGAGGCCCTGGCTGGGGGCACAGAGAAGGCTGGGGGCAGGGACCGACTCAAAGTTGCCACGCAGCGTCCGCACGGAAACGCCCCAGCTCTGTATCTCGCGCTGGGCTTCACTGCGGGCGGGGCCGGCGGGGGCCTCCCTGCGAGTGTCCTGTGGGGCGGGGGCCACCGCGGGCTCCTCCCCCTGCGCCAGCCCGTTCACGCCCTTCAGCAGCAGCGATAGGCTGCGCACCAGGCGGCCGATGTGGCCGCACCAGAAGGGTAGTGCGTGCCCACCTGGCTCAGCCGGTGGGGTTTCCACAGGGGCCTCGGGCTCAGCTGCCGGTGCCAGGCTCCCTTGGTCCTCCGGCCCAGGGGCCCGGGGCAAGAAGTGGCTGTTGACGGTGATGCTGACCAGCGGCTCCGGGAGCAGCGCCTGCAGCTCTGCTGCCAGCCTGCCCAGCTGGCTCTCGTACTCCTGGCAGCGGCGCCTCAGCTGCAAGTCTGCGATCTGCTTCTCCAGATATACCAGGTCATCCTCTGTCAGCAGCTCCCCGAAGGGGCCCAGGATGGCCTGGTGAGCCTGCGAGTACCGCCAGGGCGCTGGCTCTGCAGGGGCCACACTCCCACAGCTGCCACTGTCCTGGGCACAGGAAGGGCCAGTCACCAGAGCTCTCACCCACACCAGGCATCACTCCCTGGGTTCTAACCCCTCGACCCTCACCCAGCCTCTGGGTGTACTGCCTGGCCCTTGCCAGGCCTTAGAGCACATCATCTATACTGCCCTGGGAGGCTGAGGCAGAAGAATCACAAGGTCAAGCCCAGCCTGGGCAAATTAGTGACCTAGTGAGATCCTGTCTCAAAACAAGAAATGAAGAAAGTCTAGACATGCAGCTGAGTGTGAAGATAAGGCTCCAATCCTTATCTTCCAGGGCTTCAGCAAACACGGGGCAGCAGAGTTGGCTGAGAACTGGGAAAGCTCTGAAGGCATACACGGGCCCTGCTCTGTCCCGACCTGGCCCTAGTTCAATCCCCAGTACCACAAAAGAAAAAAAGAAAGAACAGGAGGCCAGGCAGCTGCCAGGGCTGGAGGCTGGCAGGGAGAGCCTCCTTGTGGGGAAGAGCTGCTGGCCTTCCCTACCCGCGCCCCAAGTCCTCCAGCCCCAGCCCGTGTCTGCCTTCAACGCTCTCCCAGCTCTTAGCCAGCTCTGCTGCCCTGTGTTTGCCGAAGCCCTGGAAGAAGAGGACTGGAGCCTCAGCTGCTGCTCTGCCAATGCTGCCTTCCCACCGTCCTCATCTGCATCCTGGCCAGTGTCCGCCTCAAGGCCCAGCAGGAGGGGACTCTACCCTACCAGACTGTCCCGCTCCGCCCCAGCCTGGCTGGAGACACCTGGAGCCTACAGCAGCTACCAGGGCTGGCCAAGACACAGGGCTGGCGGTGCAACGGGCAGCAGGGCGTCCCCCTGCTCACAGAAACTCGGCACGAGCGTAACCCTGGCCTTGTGGCAGGGACGGCACCGTCGAGACCAGAGGCATGCAGGACTGCAGGACACAGCCTCAGGGCAGGGCAGGCCTGCTGGTCACCACCCAGGGCAGTGCTGAGCTCTGCCTCTCCCGAGAGAGGGGAGCTGGGCACAGTACCTGGGCCTCCGCAGCACCATCCTCCTCGCCCAGGCGGGCCTGCAGCTGTCGTACCATCACCTGCCTCTTCCACTCGGGGATAGGTCGGCCCTGCTCATCACGCGTGGGCACCAGCCCGTCCAGGTCCCCTGAGGGCAGCCCCTCCAGCCACAGTGCAGCCAGGCTATCAGAGGCGTCCCCCAGAGCCATCTCTGTCCCCTGTGTGGGCAGAGACCAGGCCTGAGCTTGGGCCCCGTGTGCTGTGTGTGCTCTGAGGCATTTCCTGACACCCAGCCCCCATTCTGGGCAAGGCTGGGCAGAGGGAAGGAAGAGGCAGCCCTGAAACCCAAGGGGCTGCTGCATGGCTCCAGTTGGGGGAGCCCCTGAGCTCAGAGGGCTAGTGAGAGGCTGGCTGCCGGGACCCCAGGTGACAGAAATGGCCCTCATGCTCAGAAACAGATCGCCAGAGCCCCCCGCCCTGAAGAGAGCCCAGTGAGGACAGGCTGGTAGGGGACTCACTGTGGTGGTGGCTGGGGCCCTGGCAGTGGCGTTCGGGGGTGCAGTGCAGGCCACTGGTTCCCTCAGGCTGGGCTGGCCGGGCCCCGGGAGGCTGAGCGTGGACGCTGCCGAGGAGGGTGGGGGGAGGTTAGTGGCTGGGGAGCCTCCGCCTCAGCACAGGCAGGCACCTGCAGGAGCAGTGGGGGAGTAAAGCCCCCACCACAGCAGCCGGAGGGTCCCAAGGCCTGCGCCAAGCCCCCTGGGGTGAACCTGCAGCTCTCCCCTCATCCACGTGGGCAGCCAAGCCCCTCCTCAGCTTGGAGACCTCAAAGAGTCCCTGCAGACACCCTGACAGCCTCTACCTGCATAGGAGACACGGGGCCTCAGCCTGGGCACATGTGCGCATGTGCACACATGCGCACACATGCACACACACGTTTGGGTAGACTTACACAGGCAAGCACATGCTCACACACAGATGCATACACAGACACACATGCTGCCACACGTGGCCACACTATAGGCACGTCCTATGGACCCAGGCATCCCTCTGTTGTGCTGCCGCCATGTTCCTGCTTGCCCAGGTCACTTTGCTAAGTGCTAGGTGCAGTCCTCTTGAGGCGATCACCTGCCATCAGAGGACGCTTCCCCGCCAGCTCCATGGGGTCCAGAGAGCAGCCTGAGGTTATTCAGGATACCTCATGTGTGTCCTGGCTTTTAGCAGAGACTCCCCAAGAGAAATCCAGAGTGCTGGCCGGGGATGCGGCGTGGCCCTGTGAGGGGGGCGCACTCCCTACTGCACCCGGCAGCCCAGCCTGGCTATGTACTCACGTGTGGGGCTCCTGTGCCCAAGGCCTCCTCTTCCACCGTCCTGCAGGGAGAGCTTCGCAGCCGACAGTGGTGGGGGCGGGAAGGGCGGAGGTGGGGGTGTCATCAGGATGGGCACCTAGGGACAGCGCGGTCAGTGCAAGGGTGTCCCCTGGGCCAGGGGCTTGTGCATCTGCTCCCTCCAGGAGGAGCGAAGAGGCAGCGGGGGCAGCTCCTGTCCCGCAGACACCTCGCACTCTTGTCTGGGCCCCAAAGCTCACTGTGCCTCCCATGCCCAGCCCCGGAGGCCCCATTCAGGGTCACTGCTAGGGGATTAGAAAAGCCTAATTTTTCTGCAGAAAGCCGCCTTCTGTCTTACCTGGGCTCCATATGTGCACAGCCCTTGCTGCTGCTCAAAGCTTCAGCCTTTGAGCCTCCCCAGATATCAGGTGAGCATACGCCACACAGGACCCCCAGCCACCAGGTCAGGGGAAGGGGACACAGCCTGGAAGCCCAGCCCCGCCGGCCCCACATACCTCACTCCCCGGAACTTGCAGAGGGAGCCGGGTCCAAGCATTCCCAGCCCAGAAGGACCTCGCAGGCGCTGGGCTGCAGTGTGGGGAGTGTGGCCTGGGGGCCTCGGGGGCCCTCGAAGCTGCCGCCCCCTCAGGAGGTGTCACATTAATATTGAACGCTGGGTGTCAGATGACCCGGCAGAATGGGCTGGGCCAGTGTGGGATCCTTTACTGCACATCTCAGCCCTCCACAGTGCACAGCAGGGGCTGGGGACCCCCAGGAGATGGGGCCTGGGGTCCCTGAGCCCTAGGAGAAGAGAGGCCAACTATACAGGTCTCCCACCCATGGACAGGGAAACTGACACTCAGGGGATACAGGGTTTCCCCAGGCCCATGGTGGAGCTGCAGCCCCAGTTGACCTGGGGCATGGGGCAAGACAGGCAGGGATGGCACGCAGGGTCTCACTGGCCAACCACTAACAACAAGCCCTGACTGTCCCCCCCTGGCCTCCCAGGGGACGGAGGCAGGGAGCTTCCTGCTCACCTGAGGAGGGGTTCCAGGACCATAATGGACACAGAAGCTGTCTGGACTCAAACTATATCACCTGAGGCCTGGGGTTGGGGGATCCTGCCCAGGAGTCTCCCCATCCCCTCCCCATTGAATGTGCCCTGGAGATTCTGAGCTCACCTGTGAGGGGCTGAGGGAAGGAGGCCCACAGCAGCCTGGGTACCACTCAGCTCTCTGAGCAGCACCAAAATGTCACCTATTGGCCTCATCAACCCTGTCCTGCCTGCAAGCCACAGCCTCTGACCCCAGTGGGAGGAGTCATCACATCCTTTCCTTGCCCAAGGCCCAGGACTCAGGAGTCCATAGGACAGCAGGAGGGCGGACATCCAGGCTCAGGCCCTGGGGCCCTAGCAGCCAGGCACGCACTTCCCTGAATCCCAGCACCCGACAGCCACCCCGGCCCTGGCCTCCATCCAGCCACCCGGGCCTGGCCTCCATCTCTTTCTGTGTTTTTGGTGTGATCTGAGTGTTGCTGAGCCTATTGTGTGTCATGGAGGACGGCAGCGGTGAGCAGGGCCACAGACCTGTGATGTTGCCTGGGCGAGAGTCACGGCCTACATGGTGCCCAGCACCAACTGCCACTGCTAAGATTCCATTACAGCCTGGCAGCTGGGCTCGCCCATCCCTGGGGCACAGTGCTGCTTGCCCACCTCAGCTTCCCCAAGAGGGGGCGCTGGGTCCTCTGGACCTGGAGGAAGGGTGACCAAGCTGGGCATGCGTCTCTTGGCTTCAGACAGCTCTTCCATCCCACCTCACAGGCCAGAGCCCGGAGGCAAGGGCTAGGTGGGCTGGGGCTGAGCCTAAATGCAGCTGCCCCACTGAGCAGTGCACGAGGAACAGGTTAACCACCCCTGCGCTTGCAGAGCTCTTGCCAGGTGTGGCAGGACCAGGTGTGTAGGTGGCAGTGGGCGCCCCAGGTTCCACAGATGCCTATGGGGCTGGTGCCTTCTGGGATAGGCTCAGCAGGACACCCAGCCCCGCCCCAGTGGCCTCTCCTGGGGCCCAAGTGTGGGGCGTCGAGGCTGCAGTGTCGGCCCTGAAGGATCTCATCACCTACTGGGGGCCAGCGTGGGTGTGGGGACAGCCAGAGCAGGCCACCTCTGCATATTACATTTCCATCAATATTGCATGGAGCCCTGAGTCCCCAGGCCCGCAGCTGCTGTATGCCCTCCCACTGAGTGGGGACATTGCCTGCAACTTGAGGCGGGAGCCTGGGGTAACAACCACAGCTGGGCCCTGAGGAAGAAGGCACTGGCCCAGGACAGGGGCTGCAGTCCTAACCTGGAGGGCTGGGCCTGCAGGGGTGGCAGGTGTACCCAGAAAATCTGGGCTGGGGGCTGCAGATGGGATAATGAGGCACTTGGGCAGCACAGCCCCCAGGTGGGGTAGGGAGACATGGCAAGTAGGGGTGGCCCCCAAGAAGCCCAAAACCTCCTGACCCTGCCTCAGGGGATAGGCAGGGAGCTCAGGCTCGGCCAAGTGCACAGCCAAGGCCTTGCTCGGACAGAGCACCCAGGCCTCGCGCTACATGGTGTGACTAAGGGGGTGGGGTGGGGAGGGCCCTGGCGGCCTGGCAGGAGCCATCCCTGGGGTGCAGTGCTCCAGGACAGGGTGGGTGGTGGAGGCTGAGGAGCCACTTGGAGCCAGTCTGGGGCAGGACCCAGCAGGAAGCAGGTCCTTCTCTAGGTGGTACCCAGCCCCACAATCAGGGGCTCAGTTACCTAACAGTCACTGAAACTACTCCCCAGGCAAAACCAGGCCATGCAGTCCCCAGAGTCCAACAGGCTGCAGCAGGCCCGGCCTGGGTTTGGGCAGCAGTAGCGAGAGGTCACGTGAGGACCGTCTGCCCGGATCTGAGGAGAGCTGTGCCTCTGTTGGCCCTGAATGCTCAGAAGAATGGGTGTCCCAGGCCACCTCCCTGAAGCCCTGTGAGATGGGTGGGAATCCCAGGGCCCCTCGTCAAAGGGGTGGTCACCACAGAAGATGGGGAGCAGGAGTGGTCTCCCCAGGTCACAGCTCCGGGCCAGGGTGTGGGAGTCCCTGGGGCAGAGCTAGCCGGCTAGGCTCACCACCCATTGTCCATCAGCAGAAAGCACAGCCCCGTCCTGTGCTCATGATGTGCCCTGTCCTTCCGGGTGGGGCAGTCCTGGGCTGCGCCAGGGCCTCCTCCCTTCCCCTGCTGGGACGAGGGCCCACTTCCACCCCAGGCTATAACTGCCCACGGCTTCTCACAGCACCTGTCCCAGCCAAGACTCTCCTGTAATCACGGCCTGGCCCTGCACCTCAGGCTGGCAGGGCTCCCCCACCCTGGGGCCTCTAGGATGGACGGGGCCCAAGGCCTCACCGGCCGCGCCATCTCCCGCAGGTGCCGGGCGCAGTCCTGGTGCCCGTGGTACTCTGCCAGGTCTGCCGCTGTGTACCCATCTTCATCCCTCAGGGAGGGGTCCACGCGGTGGGACAGCAGGGTCTGGCAGCACTGCGGGATACGGGTGACCGTGACTGGGCAGCCAGGAGTCCCAGCCAGGAGTCCAGAGCAGCCTGGGCCCGTGCTGGTGTGACAGCCCCCACGGGAACCCTTCCAGAGGGGACGCAGGGTAGAGAGGCGAGTGCCCCACAGCACAGTGGGGCTGAGCCTTCAGGGAGGGCAGGCTCATCCTGCAGTTACTCTCACAGGCAGGCACCAGCAGGAGGAAGGGCGCGGTCAGGCCTGGCCCCCGCCCCGGGCATAGCTGCCCCTGAGGAGGTGGGAGGAGGGAGGAGAGGAAGAGGAGGAGGAGGAGCGCGGAGAACAGAAGAGTGTCACCAAAGAGGGACAGGCCTGTGGCTGCCGGCACCTGTGGACAGAGTACGCTTGAGGTGCACCTGCCTGGCCCTCCCAAGGGCGATTGGGCAGAAGTTATGACAGCCATGCTTACAGCAGCTGCCAGCCCAAGGGATGCCAGGCCCAGCACAGGGCACTCTCGAAGGGCACTCAGATTAGCACCTGGCACTGTGAGCTGATGTGACCCTTGGGAACAGGGCAGCTGGAGGGGGCAGGCCTCGGCTCCTGCCTCAGGGTACCCCGGGAACGCTGGCTGAGAGGCCTTGAGCTCTGTGTCTCACCAGTGCAGGGCAGAGAGTATGAGATCCCGTGAGGCCCCCAGTTACACCTACAAATCATTTCCCAGTGATATCAGCCCCACAGGGAAATAACCATCACAAATGGGGTGGGGAGGCCCAGCCAGCCGAGGTCCACCAAACCTCCGTACCTGCCTTGTGCACAGAGAAATAAAAGCCAAGCGGGGAGATTCAGGTAAGGAATTAGATGCTGCACAAGGTGACCTGCAAAGTGACCGGTAGCTCTGGGCCACGAAAACACTAACAAAATTGAGGTTGAATAATTATAAAGAGAAAATGATGGGCAGCAGCAGCCCAGACACAGGAGAGCTCGTGAAGAAGGAAACAGAAGCCCAGTGCAGCCGCCCCAGTGTGCGCGCTGCCCCCCGGCTCCGTGCTGAGGGAGTGTCCCCTGGCAGGTGCTCTGGGCCACCGGCATCCTCTAGGAAGCAGCGCCTGGCAGAGGACCCTGGCCTTACTAACTCAGTCCATTTGCAAGGGCTAGTTGTAAGTCAAGTGGGTTGTAAGTCAAGACGATTTCTGCCATAAGAAACCACGGAAGTACCCACAATGCATTGGCCCCCCAAGGCACCCTTAGCCAGCACTTTCATAATAAAAAGGGTGGCATAGGCTGCACAGTTGGCCAGAAACACCAGTAAGTTTCCTACTGTGCTCACCAGAAAGTTCTACATTGCTCCTAGCTTACCAAGAAGCAGTTCCATGCTGTACTCACCGCTCAAGGCGACATCTCTGGCTCGCAGGAAGGGAGGCTGAAGTGGAAGGTGGCATTGTTTGCGGGGAGGAGCACCTTCCACAGACACTGGGATCCAGCTCTGTGGAGCGCCTTCCCTGCTTGGGGGTCTGTAGCCCACTGCGACCTGCTCCTGGCTTGCTAGGGCTCCCTCTTTCCAGAACTAAAAACTCAACTAAGGTTGTCTGCTTCTGTCTTTAACGCTGTGCTGTAGAACATGACGTTGTCACTCCGCACACGAATGCGAAATCAGCTTTTTCTCTGCGTCTTCTCAACAAATGTGTGTAGCTGTCCAATTCTCAGGATTTCCTTTGTTTCAGAACTTTGCTGCACTGATTTATTTATTTATTTATGCCTTTTTGAGACAGAGTCTCACGTGCAGCTCAGGCTGGCCTTGAGCTCACTTTGCAGCCAGGCTGATCTTGAACTCTCAACGGCCCTCCGGCCTCAGTCCCCGAGTGCTGGGATCACAGGTGGGCACCATCTCTCCCGGATGGCCACATGGCCGCCTATACCCCCGCTCCTCTGCAGAAAGCCCCGCTGCTGCGAGTCTGTTGCTCAACCAGGAGCTGCTGCTGCTCCTCCCACGCCAGTTCCTCCGGGCGCTCCTCCTCCAGCACCACCACTGTCCACCTGAAAACCTGTGGCCTGCTCTAGTGACAGTGACACCAACCGCAGGGTCCACGGAAGGCTCGGGCTCCTCTACCCAGCCTTAGGGTCCCCCCTGTGTAACCTTAGGCCACATTTCCCTCCAGGCAGATCTCAGAGGCCTTAGACACTGGCACAGGCCTGCTCAGCTAGCCCCACAGAATAAGGACCATGTAACGTTCCTTCAGACCCTCCAAGGGTCAGATCTGCACCTGAGACCACCCGGAAGCTCTTCAGGGGCACTTCGTGGGGCGCAGCGTCTTCACCTTCGCCACCACCCGCTGGTCCACAGGCTGCAGTAGAGGGGCTGCATCACGTCGGAGGAGCTCGGCTGCGGGCGTGGGCACGCTGCGGGTGTGGGCGTGGCTGCCCTTCCCCAGCGCGAGGGTGAGCATTCCCTTTCATCCCAGTTGAAGCCTTGTTGAGAGAAAAGCCGTGTCTCCACCAGCATTTCAGAGCAGTCTTCAGCTCTAGCTGCTTCACCATGCCTGGCTACGTTACAAGCCCCAGTTCTCACTTTAAAACTGTGAAAGCACCCCTTACTGGCGTGCAACGTTCCACCGTTATCACTCGTTGAGGTTTTCCCTTCATGGATCTGCGTGTATAGCTGTAGCTTTTCAACAGATAGGCTCACGTAGGCTGAGACCCGCCCTCTGTCTTCCGCTTCCCACCCTGGTACTAGCCTTCCCACCCCATCGAGCCTGCGCAGCAAGACTCACCACCACCTTTCGCCAATACTGGCTTCCTCGTGTCTTTCCTCTGTGGGGCTGCCGGCGGTGGGCTGCCCACGCTGCACTCAGAGCTCTCCCCAGTTTCCTTCTTTTCGATTGTGATTGCTTTCTTCACTCCCCTTCCTTCCCTGGCTTCTTTTCTAGCTTTTCTGGAGCCACGCTGAGAGCAGTAGCCCCAGCAATTATGCAAAGCACCGAGCGGCATCACACTCGCAAGCGCACGCTCTGGGCTGGCTGACACCGTGTGCACCTTTCTGGTATCCTCTTTGTTTCCAACTGCGAGCTGCTGGCATTTGGGCCACAAGTCAAGACCCTGGTTTTAAGTAAAACCTAAAATTCTGGCCATAACCCAAGTTGTTCGTATGTGAAGCTGATTGTACCTGGAGGGTCACTGCATAAGGAGGTGAGGTCACTGGGCTGTGACCTTGAAGGGACACTGGGACCTCCTATCTCACTCTCCCACTTTTCTTCTTCCCAGCAACTGTAAGGCACACTGAGCTTTGCTGCGCACGCTGCACCCCGATTCCCCATGAGGCCGCAGCACGAGGACAACACCGTGGACTGAAACCTCAGAAACTGAGGACCAGAAGTAAGCCTTCCCCTCACCACTGTGGTCATCCCAGTGTTTCTCACAGTGACAGGAAGCTGGCACAGTACAGCGAGGCCTAGCTGTCACCCATGCACCGAGGGTTCTTGGGTTCCATTCAGGAGGTCAGGAATCAGCAAGGCATGGGTCCCTTCATGGCAGTGGCCCTGGGCTCTGGGCCCAGTGTCCCTAGCACCACAGCTCTTGCTGCCCCACATGGGCCAGCTTTGCGTTGCTGTGACACTGTGCCCAACACCCACAGCTTACAGGAGGAGAAGTTTAATCTGTCTTTTTTTTTTTTTTTTTTTTTTTCTTTTTCAGAACCAGGGATTGAACTCAGGCCCCTGTGCTTGCCAGGCAAGCACTTATTCCACCGAGCCATCTCCCCGGCCACTTAATCTGGCTTATGGGGGACCTCATGCATGGTCGGCTGGCCCCAAGGTGGGGACAGCATGGTGGGAGGGATGGTCCACATGGACACAGAGAGGGGAACAGAGAGGAAGGGGCCAGGGGCCAGAGACCTCAAGCCATCCTCCATGGTGCTGCAGAACAGTGCCAGCCGAACCGATGGCTGAGCTAAAGCCACATGCCCGCCGGTACCTCAGCACCAGGCTCTCTGCCTCTGGCAGCTTTTAGGGTTCCCTGCCTAATACTGCCAGTCACTGCTCATCAGCACCACCAATCTCTGGTGGCCCTCACACGCTGCTGCTGGTCTCTGCTGTTTGAGAAGCCTCTGTGCTCCCAGGCCCTGGTGCTGCCAACTGTTCTCACTGTGACTGGCTCTGTCCACACTCCCTGAGATGAGCGTCCCTGGTGGATCTACCGGACCCCTACAGTGAGGGTTTCCTGGGCTCTGGGGTGCTGCACTGAGGTGGGATGGGTAGGAAGCCCCCTGCGACCCACTGAGGGCGCTGCCAGCTACAGCACCTGTGTAGCGCCAGAACAGACAGGCAGGGTGGGGGCAGGGTGGAGTCACATGGGATGGCTCTGAGTGTCAAGCTGGCTGGGGCTAAGGCAGGCACCTTGCGGAGCCGGGTCTTAGCAATGCTTCAACCTGACTGTGCACGCAGGGGCCTCCTGATTCCCAGCCCTCCAGCGTGGCACCAAGAGCTGAGCCTCAGGGTCTCCAGGGGGAGCTGGCTATGTGACTCACCATCCTGGGGGCTTAGGAACTTCAGGGATATCGATGATGGACCAGATCCTCCTTAGTCTTTGTTTCCGGGCTGCTCCCCAAAGAGGCAGCAGCAGCCCTGGAGCAGTGGTGTCAAAGTACCACTGTACCTGTCACAGAGTGTGGTGCCCACAGGCGGTGGCAGGAAAACACCAGGCCCCGGCCACCCTTGAGGAGGCAATGTGTGGTGTGCATGCACACATGCACACGTGTGTGCGTGTGTGCATGTGTGTGTGTGTATGTGTGTGTATGAGAACTGCCCATGCGCTGCAGCCCCTCCTGGCCTGAGGATGAGGAAGGGTCCAGCCTTGTTTTCTTCTTTGTCTCACAGCAATTAAGTCCTATGAACTCCAGAAAGAGAGAAGCAGCAGCACAGGGTGGAGGGTATGTCTGACATGCGGTGGCCGACCACACTAAGCAAAGACCGGAGGCCTCCCGCAGCTCCGACCTCCCACACCAGCCCCAGGTTATGTCAAGCAAGGCCAAAGCCCATGTGGATTCCTGGGTCACCATGTTCAGGCCTGGGGCTTGCGTCTGAGCCAGCCGCTGGGACTCCAGCCTTCTGGTGAGCCCCAGCTGGGTGCAGGCCCCAGGAGGAAAGGACAGACTCATCTGGTGCTCGGTGCTCTGTGGCTGATGGCTGGTGGTACTTGCTCCACTGCGGAGGCCAGGAGGGCCAGAGCGCAAGAGCTGAAGTCTTGGCTAGGGGATCTGCGGCTGTGCGCCTCCTCGGCCCAGACCTTGGCTGACACCTCACTTCCTGCTCTGACACAAGCCCCTGTGTGATGGCACTTGCTTGCACAAAAGATGTTTTTAAATAATTAAAATTCCAGCCAGAGTTCCAAATAGGGGGTGGCAGAGGGGGCAGACAAGTGGACCCTGTGTCCTCCTCCCTCATTGCTGGCTCTAAGCTGCGGGCTGCATGGATCCCACACGCGGCCCATGTCCCCTGCCCACAGCCAGTGGAGAGGACGTGGACGTGGGGGAGATGTGTGACCCCACTGTGGCAGTGGCACCCTGTACCTCTGCCTGCTGTGAATTCACACTGCATGGCTCATCAGTTTGTGACACAGTCACTCTGAATCAATGTGACTCGAGAATGACTGAGCTAGGTGACACCCAAGCGATCACAGTCCTTGGTGAGACTCTCTGTGGACTGGACAGACACCAGACCACGGCTCTGTGGCAGGCCTGGCCTCACTGTTTCAGAGGGGACAGTGAGACCGACACCGCTCCCTTGCAGCATCCATGGCAGTGCAGTGTGCACACAAGCGTCTGAAAAATGGGGGCTGTACACTTGGGCGGAGCAGATCTGAGGCAGGTCCCTGGTGCTCACAGGGACAAACAGGGTTTCCACCTCCATCGGTGGCGGAGCCTGTGGTGATGTGCGGCTCCAGGACTCTCCTCGGTGCAGCACCCCCACACACATTTCCAGCCCCCACGAGGAGCCAGGGCTGTGTCCCATGGTGTAGCAGTGTATGACAGCCCTGGTCTCCAGCACCCTGTGGAGGATGGAGCTGGGCACCTGGTTTTCACCCTTCTCTGCAGCCAAGCGAGTGCTCAGGACCGTGAGCTCCTGCAAAGAGGTATAGCCAGCTGTGGGCTCTGAGGCTCTGCAGGGGTGACCCAGGGCAAGCAGCGACATCAGTCCCCCAGTTCTCCAGGGCTTGGTCACTGCTTTGTGCTTCCATATCATCCTGAGTGACCTAAGTGGGGGCCACACCTGAGTGACCTCCCAGGCCAGTTGCTGGCTCTGCCTTCCAGTGCATTTGAGGCCCTGGGCCACCCTGGCCTGTAGCAGCATCCTGTTCCAGTGTCCCCTCCCCATGCATTGAGGAACCCTGCTTTCACTCTCACCACCACTGGCTTGCACCATGGGTAAGTGTACTTCTGACCCGGGTCCAAGTCTTGGCAGGGCCCAGCCTCCCACCCAACCCAGAGACACAGCCACTGCCAGCCCCCACTTTAGGCTGTCATGATGCTCCATGGACACTGCCCCACTCTCCTGGAAGCCCCGGGAGGTCCTCTGCCAAGGCAGCCCAGAACCTGTGCACAGGCATGACTGTTTGTAAAGAGATCGCCACCCATCAAGTCCACAGCGACCCCAACACTGGCTCCAGGGTGGCTGCAGTAACAGCCAGGAGCTGAGTGGCTGGAGGAAGAGAAATGAGCTTCCTACGCGGCTGGAGGGGATGGAAAATGGCACTGAGGCAAGGAAAGTAGCCCAAGTGACTCAAAACCTGGCTGTGTGGCCCAGTGTTCCCTAAAGAACTGGACACAGGTGAGCTGTCCAAGTTCCAGCTTCAAACAAGAGCCGGACTGAGTGTCCACAGCAGCACTGACCTCTGTAGCCACAGGTGGAAGCAACACAGGCCAGCAAGACAGGGTGGAGGGGCAGAACATGGCCCAGCGGGGTGGGGCCTCACTGCCACAACGCAGTGAATGTGGGGAACACACCGAGAGCCGACACTGAGACCGCGAGTGTGTGCTTCCACTCACAGGAAATGTCAGAACTGGGTCTCTCCAGGCAGGAGGTGGGAGAGAACTTGCCAGGGTTTGTACAGGCACGGGGGAGCCCTGCTGGATGGGACCAGGGTTTCCCCTGGGGGTGAGGAGACTGCTCAGGACCGCACAGCCAAGAGGGTGACAGGTGCAGGCACTGATAGCCTCAGGACCCTGGAGACGCCCACCCAGTGGCGCTAATTTCAGGGTGGAGTGCAGGGCCCCAGCCTCCAACGCCGCATCACAGAACACTGACACAGGAGGATCCCTGAGGATGAAAGTCGAAGTCACTGAAGCAGAAAACTGATGTTGTGAGCATTGGTGGCTCTGCAGAGGGTCCTGAGCTGCTCGAACCAGAAGCTTGAAGGCTAACGCCACCCTCCCTCAGCAGCAGGAGAGATCAATGCCCGGGATGAGCACAACCTCTGGCTGACATCCAGCAGGCGACAGAGGGCACTGGATGCTGGGAACACACAGCATGCAGACTGTGGCCGACTTAAGACAGAACTTGGCCTCAGAAAACTTCCCGGAAAATATAACTTACTGAAACACACACACACACACACACACACACACACACACACACACACACGAGAAAGCCCTGATGGTTTGATGTTTTATAATTAAGAGATTGAATTTGTAATTAGAAATTTCTCTCCAAGAAAATGTCAAGCCTAGGCCTGGTGTACTGTGCATACCTGTCATCCCAGCACTCAGGAGGCTGAGGCAGGAGGATTGCCATGGGTTCGAGACCAGCCTGGGTTACAAAGTAAGCTCAAGGCCAGCCTAAACTACAGAGTGAAACTGTCTCAAAAAGGCAAAAAA